AAATGCATGGTATAGAACGTTTTGTGAAAGACATCTCTGATGAAGTGCAATTACCTCCACTCAAATTTTGTACCTTCCTTACAGTAACAGTGCTTGCATAAGGACAGAAGGCCTATGAGAAGAGTTATTACTCCTATTTCAGCTTCTTTTAATATTTTAGTACTTGGAAATTACCCTTTACCTTTCTCTTAATCACTATCAGCAAGAGCCCCATGGACCTCTGTTTAAGAACTGTTAAAATAGCTTGTAGTGTGTCTTCCCTTGTTATTCCCTTTCCCCTTCACATCCTGTATACCCTTTCTCCTCCCAGTCTTTTGGTTTTCTTTTCCTCATCTATCTCTATCCAATTCCTTTCTTCTCCAGCTCTACATCTTAGCCGTACCCTCTCCTCTCCTAACCATTTACCCATCTTTCTTCACACAAAGGGCTTTGAACTTTTACCAGGCTGCCCAAAATTCCCCAATGGCTACAGCCGTTAATCAAAAATGAATACAAAAGATTTGAGTGGGGCATTTCCCACAATAAAATCAGTCCTCCTGTTAACCTCACACAAGCAGCTGGAAAAGACAATGCTGGATTTATTCCAGGATGCTGTTCTTGCACCCTGTTTGGAACTCCATCTTTCAATTTGTTAATTTAGGAATGGGTGTCTAGAAAAGATGATGCATATTTTGCTTAGAAGAAGGAAAGATATTTTTCTGTTCTTCTATCTACCCTTCTCTTTTTGGGCAGTAAAGAATGTCTGTTGTGCAGTTTAGCCTTACTTGTATTGTAGCTGCTGAGTGGGAGCTCTGGCAATAACTGTGCTATTCCTTTTTCTCCTCCTGAATTATTTAAATAACATTCTAAAGAGAACTGCTCCAGTTTGTGTGTAGTGGCTCAGCATATAGTTGGACACTAAGCAGATGTGATAAAATGATTCTGAGTTTCGTCAGCAGTCTGACCTTCAGATCCCTGCAGGCAGCTTGCAGAAAAAGGTATGGCTCTGTCTCACGTACTGGACTCGATGATCAGTATCACCAAGAGCTCTGGACCAAGCTGCTGCTTTTGGACCATAGCACTGTTTCAGTCCACACTAGGTTTGTCTTTAGAAGCATCGTTTTCTGTCAGTGTCATAACTCCCAGATGCAGGAGTAGTGGCTGTCTCTCTGGCAAAGCTTTTTTTCTTTTTACAGGATGATGTTTGTGAGTGGCAAGCTTTACTTTCTAGTTTTCCTTTCTTCATGCTGTTCCTCTACTTGTGTTCCCTCTAGTGGCTGAGTTGCAGATGGTTGAGCAGATCTAATTCAAGCAGCTGTACATATAAATTGAATTAGCCACACTGTCCATTTCATAGGTTAGCAGGATTTGTGTCTTATGCAGAGCTCAGAATTTTGAGACTACTTCAGAGTCCTCTTGTTACCAGGTCATTGGAAAGTACCTTTTCTCCAGTGTAGCACTTGATGTTTTTGAGCAGCGTAGATGTACCTAAGGTAGATATCCTGCTGAGGAAGGGAATTTGGATTTCTTCTCATAATATGTAACTGGCAAGACTTTTCAGCTGGAACTGGGAACATGTGCGTTCATGGCATTCATGTAGTTGTTCAGTATTGCTCAAGTTGTGCATTGGTAAGTGCAGGTGAAACAGTTTGTCAAGCTGCTACCATTTGTAGGGAGGTTTGATTTCTTCTGCTAGTGCTTTGTAGTTGCCTTCTCTTTGAGGTATTAACCAGAGTTGGAACGGACAGCAAGAATGTGTTCAGTGCAATGTCTCCTTCTGTTCTCTTTCAGGCTATCGTGATGGGTATCAAACAATTTGTCCCAGTAATTTAGTGGCTGTTCCTTTTTAAGGCTGTAGTTGAATGGCAGGAATAAATAGAGCATATTTGATCCTCAGCAATAGAGGTTGCAGTCAGTGCAAACCATTCTTTCACCACCATCCTTTGCAGCAAAACACATCAAAACAATCATAGTTTTCATGACAGTCCTTTAGCTTATTTTAATTCCAGCATTGTTAGTCACTGCCCATACACTGTATGTGTTGGTGGATGGAGTGGGAGGAAGGAGAAAGATACTTGAAACAGATAAAGGCTTCCTCCTCCGATGTGCATTAGTTTGTCTGACCCAGCAGTCTATGACTCAAGTACGCTATGGCATTTTAGGATTTTATTTGCCTTAGGGGACAGTCAGTAATTCAATTTGAATCTCTGATATTATTTTTAAAAGTCTAGAAATGCAAAAGGGACTGTAGGCTTTTAGTAATGTTAATGGTGAGGTATGGAAGCAAGAGACCCTCATGCAATTATCCGTTCAGTGTATTCATTAGCTCACAGACTCTTAAGTAATACTCCAATGCTATTTTTCATAACTAGGGGGAAGAAAATATTAGGATTGTCATTAAAATGTTTGTTTTTTTTTTTAAAGTATATATATATATTTTTACTGTGATAAATAGACTAAAAGTTACAAATGGAGAGTACCAGGGGGAGGGGGTAGAAAAAGGCATCGTAGTTAAGGTTTTCTTAAATTAATCTTTGTTCTGATAAAGAAAACTTAATCAAGTGCCTGAGACATGGTTTTCAAATTAAGTAGTTCTGAATTGCAGAATTTGTGCTTTTCAGTTAGGACACGAACAGTTCTTTAAATAACAGGCCTTTGTTTAAAGGGTTAGATGAAGAGAATTAAATTCATAGGGTGTATGAACTGCAGCCCAGGCGACATGTCCAGCAGTAAAATAAGTCCACACAATGGGCAATTGTTTGCTCCGGCACGGTTAGCCTGTCTAACACACTCCACGTCTCAGTTTGTCATTACACCCTGAATGTGTTCTCTTCATACTGTGGTATTTGAAATCTGCCCTGTGGGTTTGGTTAAACTTTCTGTAGTAGTGTTATGCATCCTGCTTGTTGGTTTCATTGTTGTTCAGTGAAGATGATCTTCCATATCCCTCTGTCTGGCCATTGTTCCCACAACCAGTTCAGTGCAGCTTCCTCAGCACAAACTGCTCTCCCTTCTCCATTGTCCAGAATGGGGGACTGCTGATGTTTGCGTACTCTTATTGTTTCCTTCCCATTACTGTCAAACACACGTGGTAATACTTGGCTCGTTGACTGACTCTACAGAGTAGGATGTGATGTTGTAGAGAAGGGGACAGGGCTACCCAAATTTTCTCACTTGCAGGGAGGAGCTGCCCAGGTGTGCTGAGGGGCCTGTACTCAGGAAGAGAAACAGGGAATCCTCCACAGTGAGTAACCCCGCATTCAAGTGCAGTTTCCTTCGTAGCTGTGTCCAGTACAGTGTAGTTTTCCTCTTCTGTTCTTTCCAGTTTGCCCTCTGGAATGTTCCCAGTTCAGTTCTGTTCCCTTTTCTCCCCTGTGTTTTGGTGTATTCTTATTTGACTTTGTTCCTTTTCTTTGTTGTCTTTTCAAAGGTCAAACTTTCAATTTTCTCCTATATGTAAATCTCTTCTCATCCTCATCTTAATCTTCAGTGTCACTTTTCCATTGTGCTTTGTGGTTCTGTCCATAATATGCCATACCATTTCTCTTGCACTGCTGTGCCGTGGCCCTTTTCTCTTTACAGTACTTTTAGTACTTACTCATTGTCATACTCTTTCCTATCCACTTTTCCTTCTCCTTTCAAATCACCTTTCGGTTTTCCTTTCCTGACAGGTCCCTTTTGAATCTTGCCTATTGATGTACACGAGATAAGCTCAGTTCAGCTCCCAGACCTTTTCTAGTGCAGCCCTTACTTCTGCATTTTTCTTTGTGGAGATGAAAGTTAAAGAATAAGAAGCTCATCTGCAACAAAAGAACCAAAGGATTTGGTAAACTGTGTTTTGGTTGAGAAAGAGAACAGGAAGCAGGCTAGGGTTATAAAATGATGGAAGTGGGCAGTGCTGGTCAATTGGTAGTGAGCAAAGAGGCTTTGGCTTCTCTGCTTCTCTGTATGAGCTGTTTGAATTACAGCCCTGATTGGCTCCCTTCACAGATTGCTGACTAGTGTGATATGATTTGGTGGTGGCTCCAGTTTCTAGTGGGCAGGTATCCACACAGAAGTAGCAACTTGCACAATTGCTTGTCTTTGTTAACTCCTAGAGAGAAGCTCAGGATCAGGCAAGACTGGAAACTGAACTGGTGTCTTGTTTACCCGTGGTAGAAATGCAGGTTCTGGCTGAGATAATGTTGGTGAGATGCTCTGGGAAGCTTGCATTGCTGTTGCCTGTGCTGCACCTTTTACTGCTAATTGAAAGGTTTCCTTTTCCAGGGCTGTCAGTCTGGCACGTCACCTGAGCAGAAGAGTGACTGTTTGTTTAACAGCTTAAAAATGATTGGGACAAAAGGAAGTGGGGAACCAGAAAATTCTGTACAAAATGAGTGTATGTGAAAAGAGGAATGAGTTACTTTGGGCTTGATTGGAGAAGGCAAAGGAGTGGAAAACTGAGTTGAACTGGAAAAATACATTGCTCTCTGTCATGTAGCATCTTGTGTGCTGTGACTGTTCTGACTACTTTATTTTTCACTGTTTTTAGAAACAAAGAACGTTTTGCCCTAGCAGAGTCAATTCTCTTTTTTTGTTTCTGAGGTGACAATAAAGCCTAAGTGTCAAATATTCAAGTGGCCTCAGATGGTTCTAAAGTAATTAAAAAAAAAAAAAAAAGGAGAGGGGGAGGAGAACATGTCCTGTTGTTTCTCGCTTTTTGTTTTATTTTCCCTTCTCCTTGAAAGAAATTCTGTTGCTCTGCGATCAAATCAGTTGCGTATTTCACCTCTTCGTATGGAACCTGGTAAGCATCGTTCCCAGGTGATATAGCAGATGAGGCACACAAGAAGCAAAGTAACCCTGAGTCTTACTGCAGTTTCTTGGATTATATCTGGCCTTCCAGCAGACAAAGGACTCCGACCTCAAGACTAGCATTCCCTGCCTTTCGCATGTGACTGTACATGAACTGCATGGTTTATAACCTTACAGATCTGCAGGACAGCTGTCATGTCACTTATACATTTATTATTTATTTTCAGGCATTGGAAAAGTATCCCAACTCACCAATGACCGCAAAACAAATACTGGAAGTCATTCAGAAAGAAGGGCTAAAAGAAACAAGGTCAGTGTTTATATGTTCTGTATTTTTACTGTCTCCGTGAAAACTGTTTAGGAATGGTTCACAAAACACAATGTGCTCATTAATGGCTGAATTAATTTCCAGTACCAACTTGGGAAATACAGCTGATGGGTTTTGTTTCTTAGTCCAAAGCTTTTAAAACGATAAGTGGCTGGCTTAACTGTGTACCTGTCTAATAGCCTCTATAGGCCAGCTCCAGTCTAATGGCTTCTTCAGAAAGACAGTGGGATCTGATCAGAAAGATCAGTGATGCTGTTTAGTTTTGCCTGGAGACCCAGGCTTAGCACCATTAAGCTGTTAGAGGTTAGGTGGATTATCCAAAGCCTGTGGAACTCGAGTGGCCTTCCATTGCCTCCATTACGTTTTGAATCAGATAACTATGATTTGCTTCAGATGAGCATGCCCGTTTCCTTTTCCTCAAAAGTGATCTAGGATTCTAGTGACCCACAAGTGGAAACGTGGGCAAGAAATAAAATAAGGAAAAACTGCTTCGTGATGGTCTTCCACACAATGCAGTTTCCTGTCCTCCAAATGATGCAGTAATATTTCACTGTTCTAATAAATAATTTTAATCATTACATGTTGCTGTCTCAAAGCAAAAGGAGACATTTGCTTTTATTTTAAATTTTTTTTAATTAAAATAATTACATTATTTTATTATGTCACCTAAAATGTAGGAAAAGAGAACTTCAAAGGCTTTGTAGAGTCGTAATAAAGTATTATGTCCATTACTTCTGAATTTTTATTTTGTTGAACCAGATTTAACAATGGGATATATTGTTACTGAATTTTGTTATTGTTCCTAAGAAGCAGAATACTCAGAGTGGTCATTTGCAGAGCATAACCATGTACTGCTTTCTTTGTATCATTGTAACACGCTTATGATATCTGTATGTTGGTGAAAGTGCAAAAGAGATGGTGTGCAAGTTGATTTTCCCCCTTTTTACAGATTATAACATGCATTAGTTCTTGCTAAGAAGTTTCTTGAAGTATATTTGGCAATACCAAGGAAACAAGGGAACGAAAGCTTTTGAAAATGAATGTCCAGACATGTGTTATGCTGCAAAGATTTGCATACTGAAAAAAAAAAAGACAAATCTGTTTTTATTAAGATACTGTTTTTTCACAGCAGTGAATAGATTGCTTTCTTCTTACTTCCTGTGATATGAGACAACTGTATGGTAGCAGCTTGCATGCCTGATAATAGTATTTCTTTGTGATTTTAAGAGTTCTTGTTTCCCCAGACAGTGCATAAATAAAATTTTGTGTGCAAAACCTATGGGAAGCAGTGAAGGCAGCATTTTTATATGTTTTAAATATAGAAAATGTAGAATTGTTGCTGAATAAATAATAGGATAAAGATTCCTTTAAAAAGCATCAAAACCAGAGATTCTCTTTCATTGCCCAAGTATTTTAGTGACTGAGGATTGTAGGCAAACAGGAAGGAATCTGAAGTTCATACTGACCTGATTTTTATTCATGGTATATGCTGGTGTATGTGAATATGCAGTTTATTGCAGGATGCCATATGTGGCAGTGGGTATGTAGACAAGTGAAAAAGGATACAGTTGAACATTCCTTATTCAATATGTGAAAAATTGTACGAAGTTGCGTGCATGTCATTCTGCATTGTTTAGTGTAGAAAATCTAAATTGTGCAAGTTTAATAAAGAAAGATATTGATTCTTTATTTTTAATTTTTAAAGTGCTTAGTTTCTCATTTAGCTTCTGATTTTATTCAAGAGTTGTGTGTCTGTCACATTTTAATATTAGTTAAGCACAAACTTGCTTGCTCTGTAGACTTGAAAACTACAGAAAAGTTCTCAGGTGAAAGTATTAAATTCCGTAAAATGTTGTCTACCGAAGAGTAAGAGCTTCCCTGGGAAGCTGAAAAATATAATGCGGCATAAGCTGGCTAGTTCAGAAGCATTTCCATACACTAGTTGTCTGGATGTCTATCTCCTGGTAAGGACATACACATATTTTGTTCACTGGGCCTTTGCACTTAAGGACTGTGAAAGCAAAATTTTACTTAAGTCTAAAGTCTCCCACTCACTTTATCAAGCTCTGCAGTTTCTTTTAGTATATTTCTACCAGTATGGTACCTTTGTCATTACTGAAGTTATTCCTTCTCGGTCTTTAAGCTGCAGCCAGCTAAGACGACTGAAGAATGTAGATTTTATGATATGCAGTCACGTAGTCATAAGCCTTAGAATGGAGCTAGCACATTTTATTCTGTAATGATTTGTGTATTTTTCCAAGTCTGGACTTACGCCAGCAGTATGTTACTACATTAATATACTGTGCTAATTCCTTTATACTGATTATCTTTGTCAGTAGAACCTTGGCAATCCTAAATGAAGTTCTTCAAAAATTCTTGTTTCTGCTGTTCCATTTATAGATGAATGAGATTAGTTGGCTTAGTCATTCTTCAAATATATTGCAGCAGTAATTAATCTAAAGCTTTTTGCTGTGATAGTAAAGCTAAATCAATAACATATGAATTTCAGCAATTTCATTGTAGTCATTACATGTAATCTTTAAAAATACACTATCAGACTCTTCAGGCTTTTCTTTTGTTTGTTTGCAATAAAGACATCCAAGATCTACATTTATATTTCACTACTGAAATTGTTAAATGCAATAGGAGGAAAATTTCAAAGTTGCAAAGCAGATATAAGTTAGGAGTTAAAATCAAAAGCTACTAATGTAATGTGAGAGGTCATACACTTAACTAGGTTCACATATCTTGGGATGTATGGCTCAGTTTTGTTTTTTAAATATCTTCCTGCTGTGATGGCCGGTTGCCAAATGATCAGCTGGCTGGCAGTTCTTTTGCTATCTAGAAGTATTAAAAATTTGTACGGTGAACCTTTTGGGGATGTAGAAATACATGGTGTTTTTTGGGGTGAAGTGGAGGCAAGTGAGAAATATTTATGAATATACGCTTACCTATCGGTTGCTTCCAGACAACAAATTTAGCCATGGTTTCCACAAGGCGGAAAGCTCATGCCAAATAGAGTGTTGTGACCTAGAGTTCCTGTCCAAAAATGTGGCTGTTCAGATCTCCATCTGCAGGGAGTGCATGAGCCTTTTGTTACTGGTGAAGGGCAGCAGTGATACCACCTGTGTGAAGTGTGAGCAGGTGGAAGATCCGTTCAGTATGATGGCAGAGCTCAAGGAGGAGAGGGAGAGGTTAAGAAGCATCAGGAAGTGTGAGCAAGAGATAGACTGGTAGAGTAAGTCCTTGCTGCGCCTGCAAGAAAGGTGATACATCCCAAACAGTGATGGACCCCCTGCCCTGTCACTGTAGGGCAGAGAGAAGGGGCCTAAAAGATGAGGAGGACTGGAAACAGGTCCCAGTTTGGCATTGCATGGAGACCCCTTCCCTATCTACCTCTGTTTCCTAAGAATTCCTCCATAATAGGTTTGAGACTATGCGATTTGAGGGAGAGGTAAGGGAGGATCATAGAATCACAGAATGGCTTGGGTTGGAAGGGTCACCAAGAATCATCAAGTTCCAATCCCCTGCCACAGGCAGGGCCAACAACCTACAGATCTGGTTCTAGACCGAGTTGCCCAGGGCTCCATCCAGCCTGGTCTCAAACACCTTCAGGGATGGAGCATTCACAGCCTCTCTGGGCAGCCAGTTCCAGCACCTCACCACTTTCTCTGTAGAGAACTTCTCCCTGACATCCAATCTAAACCTTCCCTCCTTCAGCTTAAAACCATTCCGCCTTGTTCTATTGCTATCTACCTGAACAAAAAGTTGATTCCTCTCCTTTTTATAATTTTCTTTGAAATACTGGAAGGCTACAATGAGGTCTCCTTGCAGCCTTCTCTTTTCCAGGCTGAATCCAGGCTGATTAGACCGTTGTGAGACAGTTTAGTTTTACCCTACTGATAATGTGTTGTTGCGCTAGTAATCCTCAGCCTGTCTTTGCAGGGAAGGTGCTCCAGCCCTCTGATCATCTCAGCCCCTCCTCTGGACCCTCTCCAACAGTTCCACATCTTTCCTGTATTGGGGCCCTCAGACCTCGATGCAGTACTCGAGATAGGGCCTCAAAAGGGCAGAGAGGAGAGGGACAATCACCTCCCTATCCCTGCTGGCCACCCCTGTTCTGATGGATCCCAGGCTTAGTGAGCTACAAGAGCAAAATGTTGGCTCATGTTCAATTTTTCGTCCACCAGGACCCCCAAGTCCTTCTCTGCAGGGTTACTCTCAGGTTCTTTTCCCAGTCTGTATACATATCTGGGATTACTCTCACCCAACTGCACAACCTTGCACTTTGCTATGCTGAGGTCCCAGAGGTTTGGAGGCTTGCTAGTGTGACTCCCATCTACAAGAAGTATAGGGAGGATTTGGAAATCCTGGCTTTTATCCGAAATAGTATTGCCAGCAGAAGCAGGGAGGTGATCGTCCCTCTGTACTTGGGCCAGTTGAGGCTCTTGAGTTCTGTGTTCAGTCTTGGGCCCTTCACTACAAGAAAGATACTGAGGCCCTTGAGCATGTTGAGAGAAGGGCAACAAAGCTGGGGAAATTGGAACACAAATCTTATGATGAGTAGCTGAGGGAACTGGGATTATTCAGTCTGGAGAAGAGAGGAGGCTCAGGGGAGATCATATAGCTCTCTATACTACCTGAAGGGAGGTTGTGGCAAAGTGAGGATTGGCCTCTTCTCCTGTGTAACTAGCAATAAGACGAGAGGGAATGGCCTCAAGTTGTGCAGGGAGAGATTCAGGTTGGATATTAGAAAAAAATTCTTCTCTGAAAGAGTGATCAGGTGCTGGAACAGGCTGCCCAAGTAGGTGGATGAGTTCACCATTTCTGGAGGTGTACAGGAAACCATTTAGATTTGGTACTAAGGGACATGGTTTAGTAGAGAAATGCTGATGGTAGATGGACAGTTGAACTAGATGATCTTGGAGATCTTTCCCATCCTTGATGATTCTGTGATCAGCTCTAACCTTAGTGTTTTCTTC